GCCACTCTCTCCACTGCCCCGCCATCGGGCCCTTTGCTGGCGCAGATCCCCTCCTCCAGCCGCTCTGCCCCAGGGCCCTCCACCCATCAGCCCCGTCACCTCCGGGGGCCCTTTTGGCCACCTCCGGGGCGCACCGCTGGCCCCACAGCTCCTCCCTCCACAGGCCTGTGCTGTGCCGTGCCAACCGGCAGAAGCCCAGCTGAGAGGCGCTGCTGCGCAGGCCGCCGGGGGCCCCTGCCCTCACACCTGCTGGCCGCAGGGCGGGAGCCCCACCGCCCACGGCAAAGGGGCGCCACAGCTACCCTGAGTCAGACTGAAGCAACTATTTGCGGTACTATGAAAATACTCTCTTCTTACAGACATGTGACACTACACTCACTACAGAAATTCAGCAAGCATTTCCATTTCTCAGGTTTCTGTTCTATGATGCATTTGAGCTTTTTGTACATCCTCAGCAGAAGTCAGCATCGCTCATGGCTTGTTGCAGTCTAACCGCGGCTCCATGGACCACCCTCTGCCAGGGTCCAGACCGAGCAAGAAGTCGTGGCTAATCGAAAAGAGAAGAAAGGCTTCCAACTCCTTTCTAACGGCCGTTGCAGCGAAGTTCCATCATGACAAACCATGGTTTATGGTGGACTTCTGCAGCCTAGCATCTTCCCAGCAGGTTCACTGGCTGGGGATTGTGGGAATTGTAGTTGAACACATCGGAATGGTGCTGGTGGGGGGAAGGTTATTTTCTTGGGGTGCCTGAACCGCACAGGCGCATCGTGCACTCAGAACGGCTCTTCCCAAAAGCAGTGGGAACAGGCGGCCACCCACGTGTTCCCCGCTGGTCCAAGACACCAGGGGTGCCATCCACAAGCCCCGGCCCCAGACTGCCCTTGGCAGAGAAGGGACACCCCCTCCCTGGCTCCCCCCAACTGCTTTGGCACCCAAATCAGGCCAGGGCAGTGTTCCTGGGGAGCGCCACGCCACGCCACCTTTGCACCTTCAGGCGCAGCGCTTTTCATCCAGATGCAACGTTCTTTCAAATGGTATTGTGCAGCGCTCTGCCAGCCTGAACAACAGCTCCAGTTTTGCTTCCTTCTAAACTTCTGAAGATCGCTGAAAGCTCATGACCAGGAGGCCGGCGTGCCACTGCAAGCATGCAGCTGAAAGTCCCTCCTCGCCCTTTCCCACCACTTGTCCTTCTTTCTACCGTCCGGTGCGCGTACCTGCAAACGACCAGCAGGGGCTTGGGATGCTTAAAAGGCAGGGGGTGAACTTCCCTGCACGGCAGGCCAATGGGATCCTTCCATGCAAGCAATTAAAAATAGTGGCTTTGGAACAGAACAGCTCCCGGAGGGCTTGAATGGGCCGCAGCTATTTTTGTCTGTCTGTTGTCTAACAACACAGTTAGCGCTACTTGACATTCACCAACCGTACCCAGTAATATCTTTATTTGAATACGAATGCAAATCGCGAGAGCTTTTTCATCCCGACGTCTATTCTGCGGCTGCTGAATAGAGTGACCACATGTCCAAGGTTCACTGACCCCCCCCCAATCATCTCCGCCATGGCGAGCGAATGACACACACGGCCAATTCTGCCTCGCCTCTCCACTTTCATTCATAAAAAAATTGACATTGTTCCTCGGGCAGTAGCGCTGAGGAAAAGGAGAGGAGGGGAGCTCAGCCCAGACGAGGCCCCCGGTGCTCTCGGCCTGGATTCTATTCAGCAGCCGCCCCGCCATCTGCCTTCTTCCTGCTCACCGCAGAACACCTCCCCGTAGAGATGTGAGCGGTTGTACCACCTCCACTAATAGCCAGCATTCATATTAGCAAACATACACATTCCACCAGAGTCCCTCCTTTCAATGCGTGTTTTGTGTAGCTGAGCAGAAGCACAACGCAGGAGCTGTTGCAACCCTCACAGCCTGTGTGGAGAATTAGATCACGGGGGAAAAATGCATCCAGCCTCTTGATGGAAAATAAGGCCCCGGACTGTTCAGAGCATGAGCTGCCGAGCAACAAGCCTCAGAAATGCCCCGCTGCCCCCCTCCCGCTCGGCCGGGAGAAGGGGTTTGCCGGAGGCCGGGCCGGCGGCGCCTGGAAGCGAAACACTCATGCAACGCTTTCTGTCTCTTTCATGCAAGGGATTCAACAGGCCCTTTTCCGAGAGGTGGCCTTGAGTGCTTTACTCACCCAAGTGAAGGGCTGCTTAGACATCACACGCTTATTTTAAAAAGGCCGCTGACCATCCTTCTGCCCCAAAACACACCGACGCCAAGATCCCTTTGTCGCCGAGTGGGGAGAAGTCCCACACGTGCTGCTGCGTGATATGAATCATGCGCAGCCTGTTGGGCTTCCCTTTCCAAAGGACTGAAGCTTCTCGTTGAGATTTCTGCCGGGGAGGAGCCGGAGCGATGCCAGCTTTTGACTGGTGCTACACCGCGCACTTAGGCAAATTTCTCAGAAAAAAATTGCATTTATTCCAGCAAAGCCTGCATCCTGGGGACAGCACTTTGCTGGAGCGGCACACCCAGGGGGCTGTCAGGATCCCCTCGTGTGACTCTCTGAAAGCCAGTCCTCTGTCAGGGTCCTTGCGCTAAACATGGCGCCTCACCTGCTCGCTGAGGGTGCACGCGAAAGGCACCTAATGCGTGGAGGCCCCCTTGGAGCGCATCAAACTGCAAGCGACTTGGCCAGCTGCTCTACTCTTGAGGAGGGGAAGACATGAGAGGCACGCTGGCCAGCAGGCTGCAGCTGCCTCCAAGCACTTGATCCAAGACATCTCCTTGGGCCGCCCACCTGAGCCGGCCAGAAAGTGGTGCCCCCTTTGTGGGCATCCCCTTCAGCAACTGAGGTCACCCTATTTCCAGTAGCAGCCGCTGCCGCCGCCCCCTGGGAGGGAGCAAGCAATGCTCACGTAACCCGTCCTGAAGCCAGCGCCACCTTTTGCGCCTGAATCAACCCGTGCAGAATTGCCGCATCCGGCACAAAAGCCTCCCAGAAAGGTGGCAACCTCGACACAGAGTTCAGTTGCCAGACAAGCAACCCCACACAACTGCAACCCTACAGAAGACAGCAAGGCGAAGTGGTACTTGAGAAACCGGGTTGTGCCTGTAAATTCCTGGAATGTTCCGCAACACACACTCCCACTTTTACTTTTATATGCACAATGCAGCTACCCGGATAATACCGCAGAGATGTCGCTTTGTTATTCAGTTAATTTCCTTATGGAAAAAAATGAGCCAGGCAATTTACACCAAGAACCCAGCTTCTCATCTGAATTATTTTTGAAAGCAAATCCATGTTCCTGGGTGAATTACAGAAATAACTGGAGTTGCAACAGCGGGCAGCAGGGGGACCCATCTGTCATTTTTCCTGGCAGACCTGTTTCTGCCCCATGCCATGAAAACCTGGTGTGGATAGAAATGTTTGAAAGAATACAATCCTGCCTGCGACGGGGGATCTTCTTGTTTTGCAAGGAAAGGAGCAGCAGGTTTTCCAGTGTTCCTGGGACTTACTTGAGGTTCTTCAGATACCAGCTAAGGATCAGCGAGAAGGCTGGTTTTCTACACTGACTCCAAACAGCCTCATGTGCAAATGAGCGCTCACCTTCTGACGATTAGAATAATGAAAGCTCCTAATGAGACCCTAATGAACATTCTCCCAGTATTCTCACAACTGAAGCAACATTCAGCTACCAGCCTGCAACTTTTAGAAAACAACCTCGAAATAAACGTAAGCAGCAGAAAACCGTTCATGTCAACACCCGTGTCTCCCTTATTTCAGAGTCTTGCTTCCCAAGAGCCCAAAAACAACTGTATCTTCCCCCTGGGTTTTCAAAGGACCTTAGGCTGAAAGATTCAGCACACATCCTGGCCCATGAGCTCAGAAAATGGGCTTGGATTAGACGGTCCTGCTTCTTTCAAGCCTGGATTTTAAAGTTTCAAAAGCAGATGCCATTTTTAAGGTAGGTGTTAAAGTCCATGTAACACAAATGGTTGTGTTCCCAAAGGCTACTGGTTCATGGAAGCCACGTGAGCGGCATGGTAACAGGCAGGCAGCCGTGTTCGCGTCCACAGCAGTCGTGTGCCGACTGCTGTCGTGACAGAGGCGAAGCGGCAACGTGGGGACGGCTTGTCTCCGGCCAGCGGCCGCTTGCTGTGGGAACACCAGGGCAGGCACGGCGGGAAGAGTGCCCGGGGCACAGCCGGGACAGCCCACTGGCAGTTTTCGCTTCTCCAGCCTGCCGGGGTGGAAGGCCTGGCTGTTCTTGCAGGCCGTTATTCCTAGGAAACGGCCTCCTCCAGACACGCACAAGACCCGGGAAGCGCGCAAGGAGAGAAGGGCGGGGCGGGGCAGCGCAGCGCCGCAGGGATGGGCGGGCAGTGGAGGGGGAGGCCGCGGCGGGGGGGGGGAGGCCGGGGCCACCTGGAAGGGCCGCGCGACCAGCTGAGGCCGGCCTTCTCTTCCAGCATCCACGTCCCGCATGGCTAGCAAACGCTTCTCGGCCACTCCACGCGCAGTGAAGTCCAGCTGCCCCGCTCGGCGGTACATTCAAGGCAGGCTGGGCGCCGGGGCTTCGCTTCCCCCGCCGCTTCTGCCCCAACAGCCTGGGGGCAGAGGACTGCTGGATCGGGCCCCGGGCGCCTCGGCCGTCGCTCTGGCCACAGGCAGCGCCCCGGCTGCCCACAGGATGCCACCAGCAGGGCAGCGTGTGGCAGCCGACCCCCGCCCGCACACTCACCCTCGCCCCCGCCTCCCCAGCCACGGGGGCCCGCGATCCTCCGGAGTGGGAGCCACGGCAGCCCCGCCACATGCCCGTGCCCCGTCCCGTCCCGTCCGAAGCCGGCCCCGGTGCCCGAGTCCCACGGCGCGGCTCCGCGCTGCTTCCCGGGTCCGCCCGCGCCCGCCCTCCGGGCAGCCCCTCGCCCCGCAGCCCGCCCTCGCCGGCCCGTGCCTCGCCCCCCGCCCGGCCGCGCCGAGAAGCCCCGGGGGCCGCCCCCCGCTTACCTGGCGGCGCGCGGGCCAGCCCGTCCTCGGCGTGCGG